TATATATATATAAAATATATAATACCTCAAAGGTCCATAATATTTCTTTCATGTTATGACTTACAGTCGATACATTTGTGACAGCTACGTTGTGTCAGGCTAATGACGCATTCAACTTGTCTGACCTGAAACTGATTACTGAGGTGTTTCCTTTCAGTCACTGTACTGTATATGGAGTGTATGGGGAAAGCTTTTCTCAATGAAAATCCATTTTTGCACAGTTGCTTACTTTCCAGTCTTCTCTGGTGTGTAGAAGGCCACAGACACAGCTGTGTGGTTGCGCACGTATCCAACCCTCTTGACAGCCAGCAGCTCCCTGCGATCCACCTCCCCCATGACCAGGAACCAGCCTTCATCCTTCGTCTTGGGGAACCTGGGAGCCTGGGCCTTACTGTCCTGTTTCCTCTGAAATAACAGACACACTGTACAGTACCACTGTGCTAGAGGCGCTTACACACTGTATTTGATTATGAGATTTACGTGATCTATGAACAATACAGTTTTAAGATGAGATCAACTTTATTAATATCTGACAGGGAAATTTAATAAACACTGATAAGGTAGTTGTATTTATTGTAAAAAGTGAGTTAGACATAGTACCTGTCTATTTAAATAAGACCAAGAAGTACTTTGTTTTAATTACTCTGCATATGAGACTCTAAGTATTTATGAGGTACTTAAATGTCTTTCATATACGGCATTTGCTTCAGATGTGATGAATAAAAAATGTAACCTTTACACTACAAAAAAGGACAGTTGTTCTGAGAAGAGTCACTTTGCATCCTAACTGTATTGTGTGTGCTGTGTCCCAGCACCAAAGTGCAGCTACATTTAAGTAACTCTGGGGCAGTTCAAAGCAGGCTGGAGAGAGACTTTGGCAAACTAGTCCCCCGACTTCATGGACACGCAATACTAAATCACTGGACACCATCTGAAGATCAGTATCTCTCTGAGACAGAACTGCATCCAACATGCAAAAGCAACCTGAACAAGGCAAGCCACATTCAAAGTAATTAAAAGACAAGTTGAAGCCAACAGGGGAACAGCAGCTTTCCAACAAACGTTAAAATCATCCACCTTTTACAGATTATTCATATAATTTAATTTTTACAGCTAGCAATTCAGTTTAGCATAAGCTTGCCAATAAATCTTCAAATATTCCACATCTTTCTTTCAATTTAAAGCCAGCAATTCAGTTTAGTCTCTTATTTATCTTTTTTATGCCCCTCTGTCCAATTGTCCTTTTATTTATTTGTTGCCTGTATTAATAAAAACTAATAATAATAAAGACAATAGCATGGGAATTGATATAAAAATGGCAACAACAAAATCAGTTTAGCGTCAACAGCCAGTGTTCACACTTCACAATTGTTCAGAAATTGCCTTCTCTAGTTATTTTCGTCCCACTGAGTTAATCTAAGAACAGCAGCTGTCTTTGGTTTACAGCCGTTTTCAGGTTTGCAATGACAATTACAGTTGTCTGTCACACAAGTGGGTAGATTGCAAGAGCATTACATAGAGCATTACCCCTCCTACACAGCACCGAATAATAGAAACATTACATTAGTATTAATTTGGAGTTGCGATTGCGTCCACCTGATGAATGTCCAGCATTCACTCTGTTTGCTCTGCTTTGATCTCCTCCAACTCCTGAGATTATCTGGCTCTTTAGGTGCTAAATGTTCCACTGTGTTCAGTCTCTGATAATGATACATTATAGTGACTGCATAGAGAGTTGAGTACTGACCCTCTGCTGGCCCAGGTTGATGCGTCTCAGTGACACCTGCAGGACGTACTCCTGGTCAGAGTGGACATCCAGCCAGCGCCTCTCCTCCCTCAGGTTAGCTCCTGCTGCAGGCAGGCGACGCTCCGTCTGCTCCTGGCTGTCCTCCCACCAGCCCTTCACGCTCATCTCAACCTCCAGCACTGGGAGGTGACTCAGGAAGGACCACGCCTGATTAAGAGACAGTGACGAGACAGTGAGGACGGGTTAGGAGGAAATGAGGCATTGCCATTCATATCATACCTGTTTTACTGGTTTTACTAAAGAATCAGTGAATGTTTGCTTGGAGAGTTTGCTTGGATCCACTCATGTATTAGACATACTGACACCAGACCTGTGGCAATAGAACAGGACCCTACCTAATTCAACTGGACTGAATATAATTTGCACCCTGCCCAGCCCCCTTCCTAGGTTGGTTCCAGAGAACCTGTGAAGACCTCTTTAATGAGACTGTAACGTAAGACCAAAGTAGGACATGTATAACAGCTGTGATTCCTCAGTCAGCAGTGTGTATTAATCATTATCATTCTGGTCCATTTTGTGTTCACACTGCCTCATGTTATCCAGGAGGTGTAAACATAATGTCATAATGACATCACTTTGATCATCAGTGACCCACATGGCAAAATCTAACTCAGGTGACTGACAGCAGGTGACATCACACATGTCCAGATCTGACCTCAACGATCCATATCAGATCTCACTGATCATATCAGCTATACAGAGCTTTAATGACCGGATCTGCTCACTCAACACAGCACTGCAAGTTCAACTAAAGCCCTGCGAAACAAAAAACCAATAAGAGTAATTAATTAATGTGATCCACGTAAAAGAAGCAGAAACAATGGAAATAAACACAGAATACAGACGGTTCAGCAAACATTGTACTTAATCTTTGTATGTCTGTTATGGGCTTATAACATGGAATTATTATTAACATCTGTTAGAATCACAAAGGGGTGTGAGGTACCCTGAGATGAATACACTGTCATATTATTATGTAACATGTAATGTATAAAACAAGTTAATTTCCACTCTGCACATGAATAGCTATAAACTGTAGAAATGAGACGTCTCCCTTCAAATTTGTGTGGTGCTCAGAAAGGAAGAACAGGATTCTGAGAAAAAAAAGAAAATGAGAGTTTTAAGAGAGGGACAGGTCTGTCTGCTACTGTACGGCAAGTCTTAGTTGCCTCTTAAGTGTTTTTATAGAGAATTTAACAGTTGGTTCAAGCCAAAAGACCCGCTATGAGGAAGACATAAAAAAGATAAAGGCACAGAGGGAGTGAGAGAAAAAAAGACTGGTGGAGGAGGATGTGTGTGTGTATTGAGGGCTAGGAGGAGAAAAACCTCTCTGATTCACCCGGCAAAAGCTATTTATGTGAGGATTACTCTCCCTGAGCAAGTCAGACAGGAACGCTGCTGCACATCTAATTATTTAATTAGAGAGGCCGCCACACTGTGGGGGGGTTGGGGCAGCGGGGGAGTAAAGGTGGGAAAGGAGGAAAGTGGGGACACTGATTGGGTGAAGCCACCGGGTCTGCCGTCGTGCCCGGACACTCTCATTACTGCTGCAATTAGCACTTAAATTGGAGCTGTAAACCCTATCAATGGCGCTGTAATTGGGGATCCTGGAGGTATCTGGGACCACAGTGGCAAGACTGCTGATGACACGTCACTGATAATGGTGTGTGTGTGCGTGTGTGTATACTCGCTCGAGGTAGTGTGTGATCTCCATGCACTAAATGTGGGTATAGGCCCATTCTCAAGATCTGTTGCAAAATGTACAGTATTCAAATGCTTGCAATCCGTGTTATTTCTGCAGTCAACAGCATTCTCCAAAGCATACTTTACTGATTTCGATGGACAGTCATATTCCCAGTGTGGTCTTAGTGTAATATTTGTAATCTCACCTGGGCAACCTGACTTGAGTGAAACTCTTGGCCGACAATAGAGGCAAAGACATTTTCCTTTCCGTTGCAGGCAGCAATCAGCTCAGGGAGTCCTTCGATTGGCCCGTTGAAGCCTCCCGCATCGCTCCTCCCCTTCCTGTTTGCCCATTTCCTATGGAGTGATTGTAAAAGAGAGGGAAGGGGGAGAGATTCTTGGTCATGAGGCAGCATTACGACAAACCACGGCTCCTGTTGTCTTTGACTGGGGGACTGCAGATCTTTCTTTCTCATCCCTCTCTTACTGTTTTTATTGAGTTTTCACAAAATTATTTGACATTGTAGGATGCAGGTCTGGAAATCCATATGGTGTGTGCCTGAAAAAACTATTCCAGTTGAACACTGAAGCTACGGTAGGTAAATTTAATAAAAATATTATTTTGTCATATTCACTGAAACTTTTACTATATCCTGACAGCAGAACATGAGACAGATAATCAGTGAAACAATCAGGTTCCTCCAGCTCCTCCTAGTGCTTTGAATTGAAGAATCCAATCCTGAACTAAATCAACCAATCAGAGCCAACAAAGAATGTTGATTGTTGAGTGTCATTCCCAGGGAATCTACTATCTTCAAGCTTCCAACCCAAAGCTTTCTCAGCTCTGATTGGTTTTTTTTGTAAAAAAATACCCACTGCAGCTTTAACTCACTAGGTCCTCTGTGTGTGAGTGCATGTGTGTTTGTGCCTGTGTAGGATATTTAAGGAAGGGAATGGTTAGAAACTGTTAATCAGAGAAACACACCAGGTGCTAATGATGAATACAATACTGAGTCCTGTTTGTCGTTACAGCAGCCAGAGCTTAAATCTGAAACCCTTAACACCTTGAGTGCTTTAGAGTAGCTCTTCAGACATTATTAGAACATGATGAGATGTGATTCTACCACAGCGGGAGAACAAGGGGGCATATTAGCCAAGCTAGCTATCTACAAATGACCGTGCAGGCGTTCTAGCGGTACCTGTGGTGAAGTGATGTTGTTGTTTACCTGAACAGATAGAGGTCTTGCTGTTCTACGTGCGGCAGCGTCTGTAATGAGGAGTCGTGCAGCCAGCGGCCCTGCACGATCATCTGCACCAGATTGCAGATGCTGATGGCTGTAACGAGCCAGCCTTCGTTGGCAGCTACATCCAGCATTGCCTGAGGAGAAGAAACAGAAGAAAGTAGGAATCTCAGCCTTAGTCACCCAGCAGGGTTTCAACTGAGAAGAGCTTTTAATTGCCACTTTTTGTGTTGCACCAGCGACAAAAATACAGGTGTACAGTTCAAAGACGAGCCCTGAACCCAAAGGTCAGCACTATCAGGACAGCAGTACCAGCTGGGCAGTGTTAGTCATGTTCAATCACAGGGTCACAGGTACGGGCTGGGTTTTTAACCCAACAAAACTAATTCTAAATCACTTGGAGCAACCCTGCTCCATAGAGAAAGTGAAATATCCAAACCTGAAAATATTACAACTGCAAGTGCCACCTGTTCAAACACCTGTGAAAAGACCTTTGCTTAATTTGCCACTGTAGTGCCATGTATTAGACAAAACTTGCCGAATTTTGTATTTATAAAGCAACTTTAAGGCTTAGAGTACCTCCTAACTCCTAAAAAGTCTACATACAATGAAGAGTCAGTCCTAAGTTTGCCGGAAGCTTGGTGATGTAGATTCTACTTGTGGGTTGTGAAACTAAGATAAAATATATGTCTTCCTCCATTTTAGACTGTATTACTTTAAGGGTCAGCACTGTGGTCAGTGATAGCTGTGTTTAAA